AAATAATTTTTTGGCTGTGGTAGTAGTGCAAATTACAGAATCTAAGCACCAGTTTCGTTAGAAAATGTGGCTAACACCTTCAACGAATTCGAACATATCGAGGCAACATTAAATGGTGGCTATTTTTACATATCCGCCTTCATGCAAACTCGTAATCTCTATTAAACCTAGCAATAATAGTACTGTAAAGTGCCCGTAAACGACCAAAATGCATGGCATGCAATTATGTGGTGTTGGTGAAAATTTGTATGTATGCCGCACACATACTATACATGAAGCAAAATCAAAAATTTTTGATTTTTCTCGTGCATGGGGTTCGATTTTGTCGTGTGTGCGATGAAGAGATCATGCATATTCACATTTGTGAAGTTTTTTTTCAAAGCGAATGGGTGCATAGAGATGCCGAATACTGATGTCGGATATGAGTGGTTGTAAGTTTTCGAGTCGTTGGCAGCACTTTGGGATGTTAAATACGAAATATATAACAATCGGGTTATTAAAGAAAATTAATATGAAGTATTAATGAAGAAATACCGAAAAATTAATTAGAGACTCAACCAGGCTTTGTAATTCTTCGTAAGTGGAACTATCAGTTCTTAAAAATGTTTTAAATCATTTGCCGATGACTCTTTTTGTACCATTCTTTCATCCAGATTCTTTTATTTCTCTTACCGTTTTAATTTTCTCTTTTTTAAGCAAACGGCCAAAATCGCCAAAAATGTATCATCCGTTTTCGACATTGTCTGCACAGCACGAAATCAAAATCAATGCATGAACCGTGTGCGGTGAAAGCTTCATGCACACGTACACAATTTTGATGTTATGCATTTTGATCTTTTACGGGGCACTTAAATAATAATAATATAAAATTTATATTATAAATTGTTGCTTGTATGAACATCAACACATGAATGACAAATGTTGCGAAATTCCGTTACTTTGGAGAGAATAGTTTTGTACTTTCGGCATCGTATTCCCATATTTTCTCAGTATTCTTCTTGTGCGCGCGTGATTTGACAACAAGAAAACCAAAATCAGTGCTTTTAAATTTATTTAAACTACATTTCAAACAAAAAAAAAAAAAAAAAAAAAAAAAAAACGATATAGTAGGAATATTAATTGGTGAACGAAGGTATGTGTGAAAAAGTGGTTGCAAATTTTTTAACCAGAAAAAGTTTCTAATACAGTATTACTCCGTAGTAATCAATGTTTTTTTGTGGTCAGGGTTAAAAGCCAGCAACTACTGAAATTAGCCTTAGCCTTACATTGCAACTCCGATTCCAATGAAACTTGCAAAGAGAAACGAAATTTGCTACAAAAACAAATTTGTCGAATTATATTGAAATCAGTTGAAATTTGCATAAAGCTCCCATATATGATTCAGGCCGATTTTGTGCATTTCGTGCATAAAAAACCCTATGTGTGAAAAATTTCAATGATATTTAAAATGGATATAGCTCCCATAAAATTTTAATAGAATTGGGAATAAGTTACATAATTTAGAAAAATAGATATGCCATATTATATTGAAATTAGTTGAAGCTTGGATATCCAAATATATTTTCGACCGACCTACAAAAAAAATTATCAAATTATATTGAAATCAGTCCGGATTTAGATATTGCCCCCATATATATTATTGGCCAATTTCATGTAATGATGCACCGAAGCAGTTATTAATGTCAAATTTCAATGAAATTCGGAATGCGTGATCGAATTTGTTCGACAAATTAATTCAAACTATATTGAAATCGTTTCAAATCGGAATATAGCTCTCATATAAATTTACGGCCGATTTCGTATATTTACATGCAACGCAAAGAAAATGGTTAAAGTACTTCAATAATGTAAAATCTTAATTTGGGATGAGTGACAGTAGTAAATAAAAGTCTTTCGAGGATTTGAGAAACAACTCGGCACTTTTTGAAGGAGCATTGCTCTTATTAGCTGGAGATTTGCGAAAAAGGCAGCCTGTTACTCCTAGATCAAAACCAGCCGATAAATTATATGCATGCATTATATCATGTTTTATTCGTACAGCTTCAATCTAACGAATCATCCAAATATTTTTCTAAACATAATAGATTGCGTTTTTCTTAATAACGAAAACAATATAAATATTAGTCAGTGGCTCATTACTTGCTCCCAAAAACATTGTTGTTGGCTCTATAAACAGTACCATTCTTAACAGAATGACAAAATCCAATAATACATAAATCTATTAATACTTTGGCAACTGATTTCCTAAATTCTTTGGATCTACCGGGATTAGAAACAAGTGAAGAGCTCTCCACCATTGGGTAAAGAAAACATTTTTGTATACCAGAATTCAAACATGTTCAACTTTAAACTACAAATACCTATAATAACGTGGATAATGCAGTTAAACTTTTCAAAAAACATTAAATGGGGAGAATACCAAAACGGGAACCTATATAGACAATATTATGCTACAAGGATTGTTATCTATTGCGAGTGTTAAATACCAAATTTGAAACAATTTCGTGGGTAAATGTCACTAGAATTATCTAAACACCTAACATCGGTGGGTACTGTTATATTTGCGCTATAGGAAAACGTGGACCTAGATATTAAATATTCTGCCACCGGAATTAGAACCCATTATAAACTACAAATACTGAACCGATATATCACATTTTCAACCATCCTTGACACAATACAAATTTTTGTGTCAGATTGAAGTTGTATAAATAAAGTATGATCTAATACATGCATCTAATTTATCTGGTGGTGTTTATATAGAAACAACAGGCTGCATTTGTCGAAAATCTCCAGACAAAAAGATTAATGCTCCTTCAAAGAGTGTCGAGTTGTTTCTCAAACGTGCAAGATTATGGTGGGATTATTAAACTTGTTTCAATGAGCCAGATACGTTGTGTATACCACTTTTCAAATATTTTGACGAGTTTTAGCCTGATAATGCTCTTGGTTTTCACGCTGGTGTAAAAATTCCATGCATTCCCGAATTCCTTCAGTCCATATGATAACATATATTTTGTTGTTTTGCTTCTTTTCGCGTATTAGAGAAAAAGATTTGGTAACATTACTGTCTTTAAAACGTTTATAAATTAGCTTAACAATTTACAAATTGTGCAGGTAATTTTATTGGGGCATAGGGAAGGCATATTAAAGGAATTAAAGTAATATTTTCACTTATTATTTATCTATAAAGTAGGGCTCGTAATTTTTATTATCTTTTTTGTAAACAGTATCGAGAAATGAATAAAGTTACAGCCGTTGAAAACATTGAAATGTTGAGAAATCTTAAAAATTATAACACTGACTTAGATATAAATGATTATAGCTTTACTAGAATCAAAGAAAACTCTGTTTGGAATGCTTTGGGCTTTAATGTAACAAGAAATTATAGTGTAGGCGTTATGTGTGACATCTTAGAGGGAGTGTGCCACTATGATCTACCATTTATATTGACTTGATTTATATAGGATTATGAGTTATTTACTTTAAAACAGCCAAATTTTAGAAGAATGGAAAGCCTGGATTTAGTTTCAAAATATGGTCCAAATTTTTCAATATTTCAATTCCATAACAATAATTGTTAATATGTTAATATTGCGCGGTCCGCCAGGTACGTTCCTTCCAGTCATTGACGTGAAGGTTTTCTGTTTACAATAAATACATACACAAAATTGGAATCGAGCACACACAGAAAAAAATTGTTACCATTAGGTAGATTCACCTTATTTTTTTATTGTACCACGCACACTACTACTACTTTTTGATTTGGCAATAAGAAATGTTGATTTGAAAATACCGCTTTCCGAGACACGATAATACAGATACAAACTGTGAGATCATTGAAAAGCATTTACGAAACTATGGATTTCAACAAGTCGACCAGGCGAAGTGAGGGCGCACCGCGGTGTTTCAACTCGGTGAATGACTTTGTTTTGGAGCCAAAAAGCCTTGAAGTTATTACTTAGTTGATCATCCCATACAATGTTTTTAATGTACTATTCTTGAATCTTGAATGCATCGAATTACTGTGAAACTTTGAAGTAAAGTATATATTTCCGATATCTGGGAAATAGGTTTGGCAATGGAGTAGTTCTTATTGAGATTACCAGCAATACCAGATGTTTTGGTTAAGTTGTCCAACGTCTTTATGACAATTTAACTGCTATGAAAAGTAACTACATAGGTATAAATTTTCGATTAAAAGCCTAAATTTGCTGTTTCATGTCGACCAAATTTGTTAATTTTTGTATACACATTTCAGTGATTAAAACACGGTAAGCGTTGTTGTCAGATTTTTTCTACGGCGATCGCTAAATCAAGTATATCATAATTTTTGATGATTTTTCGAGGTACCTAAGTTATGTTTGTGATAAGTAACAGTCAAAAATGGGCATATAATTTTAAAGTATTCATATTTTCCAATTATGGTTTTGTATGTGATATTCTACTTTTTGTGCATTACAAATTGAACCAAGTATTCTCGGTCAAAATACAGGAAAATGCGTGACAAAAATTAATACGGCAACGCATTTAAAAATCGACAAGTTGTATAGCCTTATTACTTTTTAATGGAGATACTTGTGTTACATTGAAGTTATTTATTATTATCCACCATCCCTAAATATTCGTCGAAGACCCCATAAAACTTAAATATTCATGATCACCATAAGATTCTAATGTCTGTCCGTCGGTTGTTAAAATCAAAAGCACAGCTTAGAAAAATGGCACCATAGTTTGCATTGCGTTTACGATGGTTGGAATTGAAAATATTTTCGTGTAGCTCCGATATAACGGTACCTCCCGATATTCGATAGTTCGATGATTTCACCCACGTTTTGGCACGGACTTGTTCCAAATTTAGTGTTTAGAGTTTTTAAAGGGTTCTGCCTCCAGTGGCAATCTATTGTCTATGTAGGTACATGTTTTACTATAGCTCCCCTGCTGAGTATTTCGTTCTTTACATAAAATGGGGTTGTACATAAAATTTTTAATACATATACCTGTAAATTCAGTGTTCTGTTTCAAATCCTCGAGCACTTCAGGCTTTAATTTGCTGTTTTGCTTTCCCATTTTTTTCACACATACCGAGTAGGATCTGTAAAACGAAATAAAAAAAATATGTTATAATGTACAAAACGTTTTCTGAAATTTAAATTTGTACAATATAATTTCTAAATATTAATTTTATACATTACATTTCAGTTTCTTTGAATAAAAAAAATTGATGTTATTTATTGTTGACCTGGTAGATTTTAATATGTTTGATGATGGTTCGGCTGAAGGTCAATAAAACAATTTTATTTAGTTATTTCCTTTTTTCTCTTTATTACATCCAATATTTTGATTGTCATCGACAATCATCTTCAGTGACCTGTTACAAATAACACAATTGATTACAAATTGATAGGAGAAAACTACACAACACACAAATCTTACATTAATTTGTTTAAGAGGAAAACGTCTACTTTAATTTAACCTCAAATTCGAACTAAGCCTTTTTCCATCTGTGTTTATGTACTAAATTTTTATAAATTTTTATAAATATGTGTATCAGTTTCATAGTTCTTTCTGTTTTCCGGTGGTGCATGTATGATATGTAACATTTCTAATGTGAATCGTCTTTTATAGTTGTTTTCTTGTGCCATTATATCTATATCCTTAAAATTCGGTCTATGTCCTGATAATGTACAATGTGCTGCTAGAGCTGTCTTTTGTTCTAAAGGTTTGTCTGATTTTTGATCCGGTTTATGTCCGGAAAGTCTAGTTTTAATTTCGTTTTTGTCGTGCCAATATATACTTTTTGGCATATATTGGTTTCGTCATCGTTGCATGTTATCTTATAAACGACATTGCTCTTATAGTCTTTTTTAGTTTTCATTTTAGTTCTGCTGAACATATTGTTGACAATGTAATTGTTTTTTAAAGCTAATTGGTATTTGTCCTTATTATACGCGGGAGGTACCGTTATATGGGGGCTATACGAAAACGTGGACCGACATGGCCCATTTACGAACTTAATCTTCCGACTGATACAATATTTTAACCTTCTATCTCAATTCGTTCGAAAGAGAAAGAAAAGAGCATGAAACAGACAGACAGACGGACATCGCTAGATCGTCTTAGAATTTTACGCCGATCCGGAATATATATACTTTGTAGGGTCTATTATGAATATTTCGAGGAGTTACAAACGGAATGACTAAGTTAATATACCCTCCATTGAATGGTGGAGGGTATAAAAAACTACATCATGAAAGAACTGAGGTCTAACACAAATTAAAACACTATGATTGCTCTTACTGATTGCCAGGAACGTTTTAGGGACTCGACTAGCAGCCGTGTTGGTGCAATCCAGGAAGAGGTGGTACCGGCTCCTGCTACCATAGAGGATCCTAGATTCCTTCGGTCGACGGAATCTTTGCAGATTTTACAGTGATAAACGAATAGCTTCTGTATTGTGCTACCTTAAAAAATTTTCGTCAGTAAGTAGATTCCTCACTCGTGGAAGTAGATCCTTCGATCAAAACAAAAAATATGAATTATCACATTCTTTCAGAAGAGCGGGAGAGAGGGGAACAACATAAATACCCAAGTGATGAAAAATCAAAGGATTTTTCGGAATCCGTCCATCTTGCGACCATACTAAATTGGGTACTAAATTTAGTTAAAGAGTGTGCTCCGGTAAAGATGACATTTAACTTGGCATCTGGAATATGAGGAGGATTGAATTTTTGTATCACATAATCTAGGTTTCTTTTCCGGTAGCAATGTTGGGAGCAATGATAGATACAACAAGTAAAAAAGCAGTAAGTTCGAACTTTGAATACCCTCCACCATTTGGAACGAATTAGAAAATATTCAAAAAAATACAATCCATTGAAAATTCTGTTAAAATCTTTAAAATACCTAATATCGGAAGGTGCCGATATCTGGGGGGATATACACTATTGTGGACCTATATAGACAAATCTATGTCTGGGGGTAAAGTACTCACAAGGAACTCCTTGTGTGGATTTTCAGATAATTCCATTGGGAAATGTGACTAAAATCATCAAAACCCCGAATATCGGGGGTACCGTTATATTGGGGATATACGATATTGTGGACCTATATAGACAAATACCTTTCAGGGGTTAAAGTGCTCACAAAAAATCCTTATGTGGATTTTCAGAGAATACCATTGGAATATATAGCTAAAATCATCAAAATACCGAATAATGGGGGTACCCTTATATGGGGGCTATACGATATCGTTAACCTATATAGAGAACTCTATGTCAGGGCATAAAGTGCTCACAAAGAACTCCTTGTGTGGATTATCAGACAATTCCGTTGAAAAATGTGGGTAAAATCATCAAAATACCGAATATAGGGGAGTACTGTTATATGGGGGATATACGTTATTGTGGACCTATATAGACAATTCCGTTTCAGGGGTAAAGTGCTCACAAAGAACTCCGTGTGTGGATTTTCAGACAATACGATTGTAAAATGTGGCTAAAATCATCAAAATACCGAATATCGCGGGGTACCGTTATATGGGGGCTATACGATATCGTAGACCTATATAGATAATTCTCTGCCGAGGTATAAAGTACCCACAAGGAACTCCTTGTGTGGATTTTCAGACAATTCCGTTGAAAGATGTGGGTAAAATCATCAAAATAACGAATATCTGGGGGTACCGTTACATGGGGGCTATACGATATCGTGGACCTATATGGACAATTCTCTGCCGAGGAATAAAGTACCCACAAGGAACACCTTGTGTGGATTTTCAGACAATTCCGTTGAAAAATGTGGGTAAAATCATCAAAATACCGAATATCGGGGGGTACCGTTATATGGGGGCTATACGATATTGTGGACCTATATAGATAATTCTCCGCCGAGGTATAAAGTACCCACAAGGAACTCCTTGTGTGGATTTTCAGACAATTCCGTTGAAAAATGTGGGTAAAATCATCAAAATACCGAATATCGGGGGGTACCGTTACATGGGGGCTATACGATATCGTGGACCTATATGGACAATTTTCTGCCGAGGTATAACTGTAGCGTGATTACAACAGACGGACAGGGCTAAATCGTCTTAGAATTTTACGCTGATCAAGAATATATATACTTTGTTGGGTCTAAAACGATTATTTCGATGAGTTACAAACGGAATGACGAACTTAATATACCCTCCATACCTTTTTTGGTGGAGGGTATAAAAACACAATATAGATTTAGATTAAGTAAGTATCACCGCCAAACCAGACTTACAGCCTACTCTTCATCATCATTATCGCGATATCCATAAAAACAACCAGATGAACAATGTGGAAAAAAGTGGTTAATAAAATAAACAAACAATATTCATTAAAAACAAGTAAAAAAACATTAAGTTCGGCCGGGCCAAACTTTTAATACCCCCCACTTTAGGGTAATGTAAACATTAGAAGAAATGTGGCAAAAACCATTAAAATGCCGAATATCGGCAGGTACCGTTATATTGGGGCTATACCATATCGTGGACCTACACATACAATGTTTCGCCAAAGGAGCTAGAACCCATTAAGACCTACAAATACCAATTTTCAGACAAATCCGTGAAAAATGTGGCAAAAATCATCAAATTACCGAATATCGGGAGGTACCGTTATATGGGGGCTATACCAAAACGTGGACCTATAATTACAATGACTCGCCACACGAACTAGAACCCATTATGATCAACAACTACCAATTTTCAGAGAAATTCTTGAAAAAATGTGTCAAAAGTCATCTAAATACCGAATCTTCGGAGGTACCGTTATATGGGGACTATATCAAACCGTAAATTTCGTCGTTTCGGTGAATTGCAGGAGGATTTTCTTTGGATTTTGATGAAAGAAAAGTTATATGAAAATCCTTTCAAAATGAATCAAGCTAAGGTAACCAAATTAATGTCCCTGTTGGGGTTTGCTGTGCGACCCAATAAATGTAATTTAAAAAATCCCGATGGTCCTGAGGGTCGTTCGATGAAGCTGAGGAAGACCGTCACCGCCTTGGTCAAACATGAACGTATTGAATTGTTCTACCAAAGAGCTAATAAAGCCATTTATACCGATTTTAGTAAAGCTGTTGATACTGTCGTACATAGTTTATTACTCCACAAGCTTGATATAATGGGTTTCCCTACATTATTGTTAGACTGGATTTCGTCATACCTTGAAAACCGTACTCAAAAGGTGTCTTTCACAAATACCATCTCAAAAAATATTCTTGTCCATTCTGGTGTTCCCCAGGAAGCCATTTAGGGCCATTACTATTCGTTCTCTATCTCAATGATCTTCCGTCAGTTGTAAGGTTTTCCAAAATTATAATGTTTGCAGATTATGTTAAGCTGTTCATTAATCTCGATTCTCTCAATAGCTCATTTTACAACATGATCTACATTCCATTGTAAATAGGTGTGGTATTAATGGCATGTCACTAAATCTTAAAAAATGCGAAAAATTATCATTATTCAGATCTAGACATATTCAATCTGATTACTTCGTAGGTTCATACAAATTGGAGAATGTAGACTCATTTATTGATCTTGGTGTTATTTTGGACAATAAACTCCGTTTTAACTTACACATTGAATCTAGCGTTAATAAAGCAAAGTCTCTTCTAGGTTTCATTAAGCGCTGGTCTAAAGAGTTTGAAGACCCTTACGTAACTAAACGCTTGTTTACTAGTCCAGTTAGACCTACATTAGAGTATGGTTGCGTGTTGTGGAGTCCATTTTATAAATGTTACTCTAATTCAATAGTAGCAGTTCAAAAACAATTCATTATATTCGCATTCAAAGGTCTGCCCTGGAATCCGTCTGAAGCACTCCCCCCTATGAAAATCGATTAAAACTTATAGACCTTCCATCGTTAGAAAGAAGGCGTTTAATGCTTAGAGTAATATTTTTAATACGACTTTTGCGTGGTCAAATTGATTCACAATTTTTAATTGGCGAAATAAAGTTTAATGTTCCGTCTAGAATAACTCGTAATTATATACCGCTAAATCTTTCCTTGGCGAGATCTAACTACGAACTAAGCAACCCCCTTAGATCTCTATGTGAAATATATA